CCTCCACCATTGTGCAGCAACCAGAAGTAGATGACATGACTGTATTTGAATAAATGTAGATTGTTGTAAAGTAAATGGAAAATAAAGCCTCTCCTGAAAATAAGCCCTAATGTGGTTTTTGGAGCAAAAATTAATATAAGACCCTGTCTTATTTTCGTGGAAACACAGTATCTTTGTTTCATGCCTTCAAGTCGGAACCAGTTTATAGTGACCTGAACAAGCCTTTCAAGATGAGTGAGCTATTTAAGGAGTGGTTCTACCACTTCTACTGCCCCAATGAGTTTCCATGGCTGAGCAGAGATTTGAACCCAGGCCTCCTGAATCCTGGTCCATTACTTTGTCTAGTACACCACACTGGGTATCATTACACACACACACACACACACACACACAGAGAGAGAGAGAGAGAGAGAGAGAGAGAGAGAGAGAGAGATGGGGCAATTTCCTCCAGAGATACAGATTAAGTATTTCATGATTATTTGAAAATATTCTTTAACTATCTTTGTCTCATTTGATTTTTCATCTCTCTGTGTTAATCAACTCGCATATGCTAGGATGTTTGTGCTGTAACCCATCACTATTCTTAACAATTACATTTAAGATAATGACCCATGCTTGTGCGCTCTACATAGCTCCACACGTCTTTGCCCCCTGGATGCACCCTTCTAAGAAAACATGTATATACAGTGGTGCCCCGTATAGCGAATATAATGAATTTCTTGTACATCTGATGGAAATGGACTACAGTCCAGGAAACTTTGAAAAAAATTAAACTTGCCAGTTCTTAAGGTGCCAGTTCTTTGCTATTTTTGCTGCAACAGACTAATACAGCTATACCCCTAAGAGCTGTTTCTTTGTATAAGAGAAAGATATAAAAATACCCTCTGTTTTGCTTCCAGTTCTCTCATCATAAATTATTTCTGCAACACCACAACCAACACCTGCAAGCTGTTTCTTTGTATAAGACAAAGATATAAAAATACCCTCTCATGTTTTGCTTCCAGTTCTCTCATCATAAATTATTTCTGCAACACTACAACCAACACCTGCTGTTTTGTTTCCCTGTTCTCGAAAACACTGTAGTACCAAATGAGACGCTTAAGAGTGTTTACAAACGTTACTGTGGGAAGAACTACAACATCCAGAATTTCCTAGCCAGCACTGCCTTGGAGGATTATCAAAAGTGTACTCCAGGAAAGTGACATTCCCAATCTTCGATTCCTTAATACATACATCAATCCCTTGTGTACATTTATTTGGGTATAAGACCCGTCTGACTTGGTATGATATATATATGTGGATAAATATTATTTTCTTCTCATTACCTGAAACTTATTTCCAGAAAGGTGAGATTCACAGGAAACATAAGCTCAATATGTTTCTATCTTTCCTCTCCTCTTGTTTTGTCCAACTCCTTTCTACAGGCTAACACCCAGCTAATATCCCAGACACCTGTAGAAAATACAAGAAAATTTATGGGTGTGTGTGTGCGTGGGACAAATCATACTATCAGAGTCTGGAAAAGTGTTTTCACTGCTTTCTTTGTTTACAGAAGGCTCCATGAAACACACCTCATTTATCTGCAAACAGGGTAGTATGAGACTTTACCCAAATTGCACAATTTACAGTACCTGTAAATATGCCGATGACACCCAGCTCTACACCTCCTTTTCACCAACTGCAGGTGATGCCGTCCTGTCCCTACAGCACTGCCTGGGGGCCGTACTGCAGTGGATGCAGGAAAATGGGCTGAGGCTGAATCA